TTTTATTGTATATATAAGGTCTTGATCTGCTATACATATCATATGAAAATGATCTACGTATACTCTACCCTTAAGATTAGATAATATAAATTTACAAGACTACATACGTATGAATATCTTTGGTTGAATACAGAAATATGGTGCTTTCAAAGCATATTCGTTGGCAAATAATTGAAAAAAAATTAGAAGGACTATCAGTTCAAAGAATCACTAAACACTTAGGTGTTAGCATATATTCTGTTAGTCAGGTTCTCACCCACTTTTGCAGATATGGATATATCAAAAAACTTTCATCTTTTTCAGGAAAACTGCATTTGCTAAACAAAATATCTTAAAGTCTTTAATAAATGAAAAATCTGACTAGTATTTGTATGAATTACAGTTCGAAATGGAACTTTGTTGGGATATAAAATTAGTCACATAATTTAAAAAGTTATACACTAACTTAGATATATGCATAAGAAAGTATTTTATGTATACTGCATATATATACTATATATATACTGGTATATACAGTATATTTATTTTATAAATTTATACGTATCCGTGTTTTTTTTTTATTTCTTGTTAAGATTTATTGGTTGACAAGAATAATCTTTTTCATAAGTTTTCGTACAAACTAAACACACTAATATGTTGGGTAAGTATTCAAATGAAAATTCAATAACATTGAATATGTCGATATTATAATTATAAAATTATCTAGAACAAGTATGATATGTATTAGTAACGTTAATTAAACTTCGGCATCTCGGTATGTCTAATGCATAATAAGACCGTGTATCTTACCGTTATGAGAAATAATGCATACTCAAACAATGTATAAATTGGTTCTATTATACTTTGTGCAACAATTAAAAAAAAATGTCTTCTCAAGAATGGTCAATATCGCCAACACCTTCAATAGAAGAAGTCCCCTGGACACCAGCAGAAAGTTCTGTTTTTAGTCCTGCCTCAACTAATGAAATAAGCAATGAACTAAATGATGAAACTAATAACGGAGCTAATGATAAATATTTTCAGACCACAGGTTTTTTAAATGATAATTGAAAAAAATGACAAACGACCAATAAAATAAAACCATCAACCTCTATACCTATCCTAACAAAAAATGAAAGGGCCAACGCTACTTATACGGGGTTTTTTTTTGAAACTGATAAGAAAAATGATCAAATTAAATACTGTAAAATTTGTGTTAAAGAATGTAAAAATACTCGCACACGACCGTATCTGTATTCTAAGTCAAGTGGAAGCACAGGACATTTAATGTATCACCTTAGTAATAAGCACAGCATTACCGCAGATAACTACAAAGAATATCTTGATTCATTTCAAGAAGTAAGTAATTTAATCAAATTTATTAAGAGATATGTAACTAATCCAGAGCTACAGAAAGTACTCAGAGAACAATTTTGAACAAATAAAGAGTAACCAGAAAA